ACCAACACAACAACCACCATCTCTATCATAGTTGTTTAACATCAATGTAGGTGCACCCTCAAAAATGAATTGGATTGTAACACCGTTACACTTACAAATTGTCCTTTGATCTGGAATTTGACTGTCTGTTTCTTCACATTATATTGAGGTAGTGGTGGTCGGATACATTTTGAATGGTCATGACTCTACAACGAAAACAAAATACTAAATAGCATCTGCATATCGTCACCTCAGTGCAGTAATGAGTAAACTCCCATTTAAGTTCATTAGGAGTAAACCTGTTACTGCTCTAAGGTTAAAACAACAAAACAAATAAACAAAACTTTTATTAACTGTTCTCATCTCATGTTGTTTCACCATTATCTTGATTATTTATGACATGACAGTGTCAGACAGGATGAGATGTGTATGACAGAAAACCACAGTTAGGCTGATGAACCACACTCCTTAAATCAGCCTTGTGAGTTTCTTATTGAACAAAATCCTGTTACACTTGTCATGGATCTCCAAAGTTACAAAGCTTGTTTACATCTACTTACTGCTTCTTATGGTAACTGACATGTCATAGTAGGTACAAATTTTATCTGTAGTTACTTTTTTTTTTTAAATAATGAAAAACATACGACTTCAGCTCAGTGATTTTTTATTCATAGGTAAATTTTTAAACTTACTATTCAATCACATTTTCTCATAGATATCATATACATAAATATCATATTTCTTGAATGTTTTCATTAGTTGCATACATTTGTATTAAGTGTAAGAAAGCCACAGACCACAGTCAGAGACTGACTGAACATCGATGTGAAGGCTCAAAATTTAGAGAAAAAAGCATGTACACTTAAAGAGGTATAACATGTAGATTGTAGCAACAACATCAATGTCAATTTTTAGCAATATAAAGTTATACATTATTCACAAAAATTGAGAAAATTTGTATTTACATCTAGGTATTTGAAATGAACTGTAATACAGCTTTGAAATAATAATTTGAAATCAAACTGACAATAAATAAAGATACATGTAATTATTGCAGTTACCATAGTTTCTATGATAATTGTGAGATGTTTCCCATCAGGACTTGCAAGGGACACATAACTTCCTCCATAAACAAAATGGCCACTACCGTAACCATGACGAAAATAATTCCAACCAATCTGTGTAAACTGTGTTGTATGAGCTGTAATAGAATAAAACTCCAGTTACATCATAATTTTTCAAACATTGCTAAACAAAAAATTTTTATAAAAGACAGTATTTTTTTCAAATCATGTGAATTAATTTGTGTATAACACATATTGATTTAAAAAAGTATCATAAAACTTTATTCTTTTTAATTTCTTTTTTCATAAAAAAATGCAAGGAATTAAACATATATTCATTGATATATAAGTCATATTATAAATCTTAAAATTAACCTTTTCCCTTATATAAGCGTGTTTCGATGGCTTTTTGCCCCCCCCCCCCCTCCTTTTTGAGGCCTCAAACAGTGAAAAAATGCCCTATTTATACCCCAAACACTGTTTTACGTTTGAGAAATGTTGTTAAAAAAATGACTACTTTTTAGTCACCGCCCCCTTCAAAATTGTACATCAGGGGTTGCCAGAAGGGGGATTGCCCCCTTCTGTTTGGGGGTTTGAAGGGGGGCGGAGTCCCCCTCATCGCCAAGAAAGTTTGGACATGTGACAGGCTAAAAATGGCCTCAGGTCGATCTTAGGGTAACTAATAACCGACGCTGAAAAGCCTTTTACTCTATCTCAATTCATTGAGAAGTTGCAGCACTTTGAATTCAGTTTTGATGGAAAAAAACAATGCAAAATAGTGATTTTTGGCAATTTTGAGACGTCCCCCCGTGGCCATGGTAACAGGAAATTTACCATTGAGCATGCTGTTACAAAGGCTATGGTGTAGTCAACATTTGTGCCAAGTTTCATTAGAATTGAAGCATTTTTCATAGTTTCATAGCAGTTTGAACTTGTTACAGGAGGCTTTTCAATGAAAGCGGCCATTTTTCGCAATATGCTCATGGGGTAAAAGGTTAAGTCTCCAATATATAACTTTAAAAGTTATCACAACATAATTAAGAGATCTAGTAAAAAAAATCTGAAAGTATAATAGAATGAACACACATTTCCATTATGTCATACAAACAACATTCATTTTCACTTTTTTACAGAACAAAATTAAAAATGAGCCAATACTAGCTTTATATTAAGACTACAAAAATAATGATTATTTTTCAAAATTCATAATAACACAATTATTATATTTATTAAAACACTGAATCACTTATTTTTTGTATAAATTACACTCTTTATAAAAATGATTCCTTTTTAAAAAGTAACCCATTTATGTGTATTATCTACATGTATAATTCTACTGTAAAACAATCATTTACAAAGTTTAAAACTGTCAATATGTACATGTTTGTATGTTCTTATCAACAGATAATAAAATAACTTTCACTCTCGGAGCAGATCATTTTCAAAAACAAGGAATTTTGATAAAAAAATATATTCACAGATACAGTACCTCCAAGCCATATAGGACTTTCTACAACATAACTGCCTGACCATGGACTCTCTGCAGTCATAAGTCCATCCCTTGTGAATGGTAAACTGTCATAATACGCAGCAATCAAGTTCCAAGATATAGTCCTTAACAAAAGACAGCAAATTATTCATAACTTTTTAACATAAAATAGATTCATGTGCAAAGATTATGTATAGCCTCAAAATATATGTTTATTTTTATGAATATTTAAAAAGTTTGTTAAAAGCATAAATATTATCAAGTAAGGAAATGGAGTAATGTACGTTAGCATATAGCACTGACATCCCTGACAAATTAACTCAAATGTGTCAGAATAATCAAAAAATATCATTTACTCCAATGGTAAAAAGAGTAGAAATTCTATTTTTGTTGTTGTTGATGGGTTTTTGATGGATTTAACATCACAGCAACACAAATTTCCAGCTTTACTGGTGAAGGAAAACCTCAGGTGCCCCTCCATGCATTATTTTAGGCATAATCAGGTACTAGTGTAGAACCACTCACTATGATGTTCTCAATTTATAATATGATTGGCCATAGTTTCAACAAAACATACAAGACTGTGGTTATTTTTACATGTTTTAAACTCTTAATATATTTTTCTTAAATTTGGCCTTCTGGAACTTTTTATTTTCATCTGGAGACATGCAATTTGTTTACGTTTTCATTTTTGTTAGCTGTATATAAAGTCAGATGATGACATTAAACTGTTACTGCTTTCGGAAGGGCCGCAGGTCTCCAACCAACATTGTCCAAGATACTTATTTTGATCACAAATGTATCATAAAGATAAAATATCTAAGATATATTTTACTTACGCAGTTATGTTTCCATTCACAAAGTTCTGATTTAGAATCTGTAAAAATAAAGACATTATTATAACATATGCATATATTTGATCATGTACCAAAATATATATTGCAAAACGATTCTAAATAATAAAAGTTTTCATAGAGTGTAAGGCACTTAAATTAACTTTTGTTATGAATTTTTTCTAGTTTTAAGCACACCATCTAGGAAACATCAGCAATTATTATCAGCTTTAACCATCTGATCAAAGATTTTTGGGGAGCATAGTGTATTCTTACGATCTTAAAATCAAACATATCAAAAAGAAAGACTGATAAATGGAAAAACAAAAGTAAGAATGGAAAATTAATAGTTATATGCTGCAACCAAAATCTTTTTGGAGGCATATAAAATACATCAAAAGAATCCAATAAGATTAACTATGTTATGAGTTTACCCTAGCCCAGCACCCTCCACCGACAAGGTCATTAAAAGTACTGTAATCCTCAGAAGCCCATAAAGGTTTGCCTGTCTTTATACCATCCTTTGTGGTGATTGTCCCTGGATAATGTGACCTGACAAAAGTCAAAGTTTGGCAATAACACAACCATTTCTTTTAACAAACCTTTTTTTACTATAAATTTTGATAATGGACTTATCTTTCTTTAAATTTTTATATATTTCTATAGTTCAACAGCCCCCTGTCTTAAAAAGCAATAGAATGGCACTGGGAAGGTTTTCATCAAATACATGCATTCAGATGCTGCATATTATTAAGCCATTAATTTTTTCAAACTAATAATAATCTACTGTAAGATCAGCAACATTAAATTCTGCAAAAATGAAATATTTAACATGCTTGATATTGAGTTATAATTTTCATAAATATCTACAATGTCGTGTATCTATTTTTGAGTGTTATTGTTTGTAGGTGATATCATTTAAAAGAATTTTATATTGACTTTATATAGACGATCAATTTGACTGTGAATATTTGTTACTATAAATAGATTATACAGTTAATTAACAGCTTGTAATTTACTTTAAGAAACACATATCTACACATTTTTGTCAACTATAACAATTATTATGATAATTACAAAACATTAAGAAACAACATCAAAACAGTATTACACTTAATTGGAAACAATTGTATATAGCATGTCAAGTTCATTGAGTTCATCTTCTTTCTACAAGTATATTGCCCACAAAAATAAACTATTCTTAGTTGGATTTTACATCACACTAACACAAGAGGTCGTAAGGTAATATTCGAGTTTTAATGGTGGAGGAAGACCCCAGGTGCCCCAATATGCATTACTTCAGACACAAGCGAGCACCTGGGAATTGCAGCTAACATTTTGTAAGCTAGCTGGATGCCTTCCTCACATAAAAGAATAAAAAAAATTCCTGGTGGCATTCAAACCTACAGTAGTGAATGGCAAGAAGTTTGGAATCAACAACCTTAACCACTCAGCCAAAGAAGCCTCAAAACAAACTCTATAACTGTTTAAGCATCTACAAATGTTTTCAAAAGCTATTAAACAACTAAATAAACTATTGCAAGCAAAGCAATAAACCTAGTATTTCCTAGATAGCAATTAATATAAATAAAAAATTCATGTTTCACTTTCTTTATCTATCTATTTTTTTTAATTTTTTATATATTTTTCTCCTTTATAATTTAACTGCCTCTGAACATGTCTATACTTTGTCTTTCTTGATCCTTTAAAATATATCAAAAAGCACATCTAGCACAAACAAAACACATACCCTATATATTCTACAGCAGCAGCAAGCTCGGGGTCTTTACGGATGTCCGCTGAAATCTGCCAGTCATTTATATGCGGGGCATCAGGAGCTACTATCTTTACATGCACTAAACCTGCCTTGTCTAATTCCTTCCTTAATGTCTGCAAATATCAACATAATATAAAGACATACCCTATATAATCTACAGCTTTTGCTAGTTCTGGGTCTTTCAGAATGTCCTTGCATATGGCCCATGTATCTTTACGAACCATGTCTGGTGCAACAATCTTAACATGTCTGAGTCCAGCTTTGTTTAACTCGTTCCTTAAAGTCTGAAAACCATCAATAGTAGTGAGGGTTCCTTTATAATTATAATGTTTCCCACACAGGTACACTGTATGTACATGTACTTATATTGTAAGCATGCAATACTATGACTATAGGATGGTACTACAATAAAATCATGATACCTATAACCCTTCACCCTTCACCTGCACAATTTCTTATTTGGAACTGTCAATTTTCTGCTTTGGGGATTTTAAGATAATAAAAAACTTATATCTAGTTATTTAGTTAGCTAACAGTATACAGTCTGGTGAAACTGTGAAGAGGTGTAAATGTAGGCTGGCCTGACTCAGTTTTTGTTCTAGCAAGCTAATAGGTTAAGTTCTACTTAATAATAAAAAGCAATGGTTTAATGCCTTCCATCCTAAATTTTAATGTGTATCTCATGAAATGTTCAGACTGGCCTGACTATTATTACGGCATAAGAAAGTCTTTAAAGCCATGTACATTCAAAAAGTTGAATCATTTTTGAGAGTACATTGTTAAATTTCCTAACATATTCACTATATACAATGTAAAAAAATAATAACATATGCACATAGAAAATGTGAAACAGACCTGAAATTTATCACATTCATAACTTTTTTATATATAAGGCTTTAATTTTGATATAATATGAGCCGTGTCATGACAAAACCAACATAGTGCGTTTGCGACCAGCATGGATCCAGACCAGCCTGCGCATCTGCGCAGTCTGATCAGGATCCATGCTGTTCGCTATCAGTTTCTCTACTGCACAGATGCGCAGGCTGGTCTGGATCCATGCTGGTCGCAAACACACTATGTTGGTTTTGTCGTGATGCGGCTCATATATAATTCACTTTTCAAGATTTTTGTAAGATATAGCCCAGGGTAAATGGTTATAATAAACAAAGGTAAAAGAATGCTTAAACCTGGCTGTAAAAGGTTTTATCAAATTTGTAGTTCAGTACAACTGTTTTCATTTGTTCACATAAAAACTTATTAATAAATTCTACAGCATCTGTGTAAATAGATATACTTAGTTTCTTGATGAAAATCTATGTTATGACCATGCAGTATTAAAAACTTTCAGGATATATATATGTATATATAAATAAAGTATTAGAATATCTCTAGGCATATTACTAATTGTTTTTCTGTGAAGTTAGTTTTACATCTTGTACATGTGTAAGTTTTATATCTTGTACTGATTCAATAATGTTAATGTCCTACAAAAATAGTGTATAAAGTTCATCAAAAGATATTGCTAAACTAAAGCAGTTTTCACAAGCATTATGTAGATACACACATGAAGTGATAAAACTGAAGTATTTTCTCTACACTTTTCTGAGCATGTTTAAATTGAACTCAATATATACATGTATATATAAGCAATCTTCATTTTAGTAAGTAAATGACTACATTTGTAAGCAAAGGAAAGTGCATATGCAAAAACGATTGAAAAAATGCTACTGAAAACAACTGGTTAAAACACTAATTACATAATGATACTAATACATATTGTATACCCTTGTACCTTTACATTAGAACAGGATGATTTTATCTATAAATTCATTTTTGTTGTCTTGGTAACAATTTAAGCACCTTTATGAAACTATAAAAAATTCAACATTGTATCTTACATAAAATCCATCAAAATATTGAATTATAAGTCTATTGAAATCACTTTGTTGTATTCTTATATCATCACACTTCATCAAGTGCAAGCAAAAGAAAACTCCAATAACCTAGAACAACACACCTCCAAAATTCATACCAAATAACAAAAAAAAATATAATGCACTTAAATGGTTGGGGTTTCATTCATGCAAACTCTGTTGATGAGTGAAGAAAGACCCCAATTGCCCATTCTTGCATTATTTCAGTCACATAAAGGCATCAAATGCCCATCCCATAATCAAGCTAGATTAATCCCTCCGATAAAAAGTCCCTGGCTGTGTTTGGACCTACAGTGTAAAAGATATCATCCTGTTCTAATATTATATACATCATGCTCACCTTTACATACACCTTATCATAATCTTTTTCATTCCAAATCTGAAACAGTGAGATAGACACAGAGTAGATAGGAAATATACATTCAACAAACAACATTGTCCTATATATCTTACCTTGATATACGTAGAATCATATTTCTTCTCATTCCATATCTGAAAATCAATATCCAGTTCCAACATTGATCAAGTGTTAAGTTTATATAATAACTGAACAAGACATGTCAGTATGTCAGCATGCTAAACTAATCTCAGTGTTTGATAGTAAAACAAGAGCTTGGATAATGTAAAAATAGCCATAACTTTATCAAAATCCACATTAGAGTTGTGGGCCTTACAAAGTGGCCTACTATTATGCTCGCAAATAAGTGTGTGAAGTTTCAATCCATTCCTTTCAGTAGTTTTAAAGGTATCAACATGCACACAAAAACTTAATCAAAGTATGAAGATGGCACCAATGCTGGGATGGCTCTCCTTTTCCCTGAATAGTCAACATAAAAATCATTAGTTATTAATCATTTGCTAACTAAATAATTTGTTCTAACAGTTGACAGTGTTTCATATCTCCGTCATTACAACATTAAACAGCAATAACTAGAATTACAAAGTACTTAGAACCTGCAAAAATACATACCAATCTGATTCATATTTTGCACTTACCCCTATATAATCAACAGTAACATTATAAAACTTGGCAGCTCCTTTAATCCATTTAATGACATATCCAGCCGTCAGTTTTGGAAACCTGTATGGATTTCTCTCACCCATGGGATTCAACCAGCCAGGAAAACTCCATGGTAACCCATAGATCTTAATATCAGGGTTTCTCTGTAATGGTAAATATATTTTATTATACTGCATGTATGTATCGTTGCTTTTCATTGGATAATCATAAGTTTATATAGTTTTATAAACACAACTGTTGTCAATTTATAAAGAAATCTTACTTTTTTCTCTTAACAATGTTGCTTGCTGTATATAAATATTTCTGACAGGTTATATGGCTGTATATAAACAAGTGTTTGCAATATAACCCTTGCCTAGTTACTCCAGTTATATTTCCAAACAACCATTTATATAGGGCCATATAACCTGTCAAAATTCTTTATAACTAATAATATAATGATTATATCAGCCTTTCTAGAAACTACAGCAGGATTAAGCTACCAGCACACTGCCTTACATTTTGTCTGACCAGACTCAACACTTCTCACATAAACAATTTTAATATCTGTATATAGAAATCCTAAAAATAAGCAATGTTCATTTCAAATTCAGCACAAAACAACTTAACATTGACAAAGACAACGTGGTTAAAGCTTATATACATTTTTTAAAAGTAATATCTATTGAAACAGAATTCCTCTGTAGTATTATCATTACCTTATCATTACCTTATCATTACCTTATCATTACCTTATTATTACCTTATCATTACCTTATCATAACCTTATGCTAAAATTGGAACCTTTTTATTCTTATTATTGTATGTGTGTGTGGGAGAGGGGTGGGGAGTGGAAGCAGGAATTACAGGATGGTATGATCATAGAGTACATTTATTGCCTTTTAAAAGTGTCAATAGAAGGTCAAACCTTTTTAGCTTCAACCATTAGCCACCACTCATATCCCCTCTGATAGTTTTCATCATCAGCATTGTGCATGTGCGAAGCTTCTGTCCCATCTTCAAACAACAAATAAGAATACTGACTTAAATTCTAAGCAAAAGATAAAAGTTAATAAAAATTAGGCCTTCAAAACCAAAATGTGAACATTATGATGCTACAAACAGGGAGGCTTACAGCTTATCAGTAAATTGACAGTTTCCTATTGCCAACTATTAATGGCTAACAATGAGCATAAGTTTATATGAAGTTGACACTCAGAACATGCAGAGTTGCTGACATTATAAATTTTCAATTACTGCAGAGGTTACAAAAATAAATAAAATTATTTAACAAGGTGATGTTTAAGTGACTGACTGAGCATTATAGAGAAGCTATTCAACACAAAGTAAATGACATAGCAATTATACAGTGTACTTCAATAAAACCACTTAAGGCACATGGTCACATTAAGAAGTTAGACTGTACACTAGGACTTTGTATTCATGTATATGTTTGCACTTTACTGGTTGAAATAAATGTATTGATACTAGCCAGTTCAAAAAATGGAAGCTGACGGTTGTTAACAAAAACAAAATACATCACATGTACAAACTAATACCTGTACTTTGCCCATCTCCTCCAATCTCCACTTTCAAGATATGTAGAGAAGCACCAAAGTTCGGCTGAAATTGAAATAAAAACCTTACACTCTTTGGTAAAGCCAAACAAAAACCAATTTTGTTCTGGTCTCATTACTGACCACATTTAACAAAAGTCAAATTATCATTGTACAATTTGAATATAATGATGGTAAAGCCCATGAATCTATTCATCAAAGTGATTACCTAAAGCCTTAATTATATTATATATTGCCCACTGGAATCTACAATACATGTACTTAAATCTTTTCAAAATAAAAAACAAAAACTTTTTTGCAGAGAGATATTTTGAAATGGAAAAAAAAGGTTGACAAATAATGCAATACAAGTAATGCAGGGCCTTTTCCAGCTACTTTGGGAATAGGCCTCTGACATAAATTGGGAAATATTATTTGATATTTTGGTAAATTTAAGAAATTTTCAAAGTTCAAAAACCACCAAATACATGACTTGTAAGTTTTTAAACATGTGTATTATCATATAACCTGCATCCTCTTTTAAAAAACAAGAAATTGGCGAACAAGGGAGGCTAATATGGATTCGATTTGAGCCTTATTTCTGTCCCTTGTGATAGGGTGAAAACTGCCCTGTAATGTTATGACTACAATGGACTAAGGTTATTACCAAGAGGTTAATACTAGGTCACTGCTTGCCAGTATGGTATAATGACCCAAAGATGTCCATAATGGCCTGCGGGCTGAACATGCACTCATTCATTTGGTCATTATGCAAAAAATAATGCCAAGTAACAAGGCAGGAGAAATTGCATAATGACCTAGATTTTGCCATAATGACCTTGAAATATCCTTGATTTTGTTACTATATATAGTAACATAGGTATCATAAGGAATGTTATGCTTAATTATGTATTATAAATGATCAAAGTGACCAATATAGTGGCTTGCCGCGAGTGAGTCACTTACTTTTCTGTATGAGGTAACAGGTGGCCTTTTATACAGGTTTGGCTGCATATTTCATCATAAGAAAAAATTCAAGCACAAAATGTACCTTAAACAAATAGTCCAAAATTTCACTCCTCTGTGGCTCAGGATAATTTATTAACAGCTTGGATGTCGCCCTGAAATAAAACCAGACAATGATACATTGATTACTTATGTAGCAATATAAATGTATTATAAGGAATGAATGTGAGTGAATCTATTATTTTGCACTTTCACAGGCTGTTAATTCTATAGAAACTAAATCGTCAAGTATGTACTTTTGTAATTATACACTAGAAAAATGCAAGATGTTGACAGTAAAAAATCAAAATTCATAGTATAAAAATCTGCAAATTAATATATTATCAAACCTGGAGAAAAGCTTTTAGTTAACATATAAACAATAATATTCTTATATATGAAATAACATAAAGCTCCAATTGTGACAGGCTCCTGGATTTCAGGGGCCTAGCAGTGTATCTGGGTAAACATAACTCTTTGTTACTGTTATACATGGGCAATGTCCAACAACAAGGATAAGACACTAGAATAATGTACCCTTTACCTGCGGGAACTGAAAAGTCTTTGCCAGCATTAAGGAGCCAGGCCAGTCTGCTTATCTGTGCAGTTCAGCCAGGCTTTATTTTGATAAAACTTTTTTCAAAAATTGAACTGAACTGTTTGAAGTCCAAAATTGAGCAATTCAATTTTACAAATTCTGATAGTTAGAGGTTAGGATTCATGTAAAATAAACAATTTCAGACATATAACTATACAAGTTCTTTAACTACTACATGAAAATACACCAATCATAACAAGAGGGCCATGATGGCCCTGAAGTCGCTCACCTGTATATAGGCCCCCGGAGCAGGGCCAGTTTAAACCCCAGGGCTTTTATTTGAACAAACTTGGTAGACACCCATTAGAAGATGTTTCATGCTAAACATCTAAGGTCTAGCTCGTTGGGTTTTTTAAAAGAAGATTTTTTCAAGTTTTTTCTTAACACATACAGTTAAAAACAATGACACACTTGGGGCAGGGCCAGTTTTGACCCCAGGGCTTTTATTTGAACAATCTTTGTAGACACTTACTATAAATTGTCTTATGCTTAATATCTAAACTCTAGCTATTCGGGTTTTTTCAAAGAAGATTTTTAAGTTTTTGCTATACACATATAAGGAAAATCAATGTCCCCAGGGGCCTGCCAATTTTGACCCCAGGGCTTTTATTTGAACAAACATTGTAGACACTCACTAGAAGATGCTTCGTGCTTACTATCTAAACTCTAGCTATTTGAGTTTTTTCAAAGAAGATTTTTTAAGTTTTTGTTACACACATATAAGGAAAATGAATGACCCCCGGGGCGGGCCAATTTTGACCCTAGGGTTTTTATTTGAACAAACTTGGTAGACACTCACTAGAAGATGTTTCATGCTTAGCATCTAAACTCTAGCTATTTTGTTTTTTTCACAAAAGATTTTTTAAGTTTTTGCTATACACAAATCAATGACCCCCTGGGGCCGGGCCAATTTTGACCCCAGGGCTCTTATTTGTACAAACTTGGTAGATATCCATTAGAACATGTGTCATGCTAAATATCTAAGCTCTAGCTCTTTGGGTTCTTTAAGAGAAGTTTTTTAAGTTTTTACTATATACATAGAGGGAAAATCAATGACCCCCTGGGGCGGGGCCAATTTTGACCCCGGGCTTTTATTTGAACAAACTTGGTAGATATCCTTTAGAAGATGTTTCATGCTAAATATCTTAGCTCTAGCTCTTTGGGTTCTTTAAAAGAAGATTTTTTAAGTTTTTACTATATGCATATAGGGAAAATCAATGACCCCCTGGGGCAGGCCAATTTTGATCCCAGGGCTTATATTTGAACAAACTTGGTAGACACTCACTAGAAGATGTTTCATGCCAAATATCTAAGCTCTAGCTCTTTGAGTTTTTTAAAAGAAGATATTTAAAGTTTTTTCTTTTGGTTGCCATGGCAACCAGAGTTCTGCATGGAATTAAATTCTTTGAACAATTTTCAAAGGTGAAAACCAAAGGAACATTCCTGTGAAGTTTGGATGAAATTGGCTTAGTGGTTTATGAGGAGATGTCATTTAAAGTAAAAGTTTACAGATGACGGACGGACGACGGACGCCGGACAGACGCCGGACGAAAAGCGATCACAAAAGCCCACTCTGTCACTTTGTGACAGGTGAGCTAATAAAAAAACGGACCAATAACTTAGAGCAAAGCTCATTTTTTATGATTTTATCAAAATATTATTATGGTCACATGTATGTACATGTAAGATCAATATAGTTAAATATCCTACAACCCACACTTACATGTGACCAAAACCAAAGTGCAAGTGTTTATGTATAATTGACAATTATTCAGAGTGCTATTAATTTCAATAAGCAAACATTTATGAGGTTCAAGGTCATGGTCAGACAATAAAATCATTATAAGCACTTTTAAAGTGTTATATTCAAATTTGTTGTAGTATAGTATAAAAAACATCTTTCTATGTTTTTACCTAAATTGTAATAAAACAAAATAAAAAACAGGTTGTGACACCCATATTAGTAGTTATAAAGATTTTGACAGGTTATACCGTTGTTTAGAAATACAGTGGCTTGGTTATATAACAAACAACCATTTATATGTGGTCATATAACCTATCAGGAATATTTATAAAAATTACAATACAAAGTAAGATTTGTTTTCACTTATATAAAACTATATAAACCTCAAGATTTTCCCACGAAAAGCAACATTACAAACGTGCATCATTTAAATGTAGCATTCACATTGAAAAGAAGACTGAATGTATTTTCCTATACTAGTTACATAAAGTCTATGTGTTGTATATTAACTAACTGACCCCCCTGATGCTACATGTAAAACTCTTGACATTTTACTTTCAGAGAATAAGTTCTTTAAGACATTTTTACTATTCAAGTCTATGTATGTCAGAGAGTGTTTCATTATGAGTACATGTATATTCAAAGGGAGTGGTAGCCTAGTGGTAAAGGTGTCTTCCTCTCAACCCGGGCATCATGGGTTTAGTTTAAACATATCTATTGCAATATTTCATCATATTTTATATGGTTTGCCAAGATGAGCATGGTATGTTTAGTGAAACAAACGAACTCATTATAAACATTGGACAGATTAATGGGTTATTAAACAAAGCAGAATTAACTTGTGATCCTTTTTATTCAAACAATATACATGATATACTTAATGATAAGCTCGTTTGAACAGTGCCAAAACTATATCTATTATTAGCAACAATACTTCTATTTATAGTAACAAAACACAAAAAAGTATCCCTAAATAACAGTACTTCAGTAGTTAGATTTTGATATTTTTTAAGCCTGATGAAGAGTATTGTATTACTCGAAACTAGTAGCCAATAAAAACTTTTTAGAAATGACCTGGTGTTGTACGTGTGTTCCTCACCTACTTTATTCAATATTTTATATGAATATAACTATTACATATTATTGAAAGGGATTTGAACGAAACAAAACTTATATACACATCAGTGTTGTTTGTGCCATGTGGAGGCCGTAAAAAGTTGGCCAGTACATTCAATCGAGGATGTTATGTTTCAGATCATGAAAGATCTTTCAGCACAACACAATTGTTGTGATTGTGGTATTTTTAGTTTTCAGCTATTTCCTAGTTGGTTGATTCCAGTATTCCCCAACTTAAATACTGTTTAATCACCCTAAGGATAATTGTGGCCTGCTTTTTAAATTTGTCTTTTGACAGCTTATGTGTGATATGCAGGCTTCATAACCTCTGATCTTTTTTCAAATTCCCATTATATTTAGTTCCACCCATTGTTTTCTTGTTTAGGGCACACACATTGTTTTACTTGGGGAACATACGCTGCTTTTCATGGAATAGCACTAACATGTCACATTGAAAGTTCCATGATAACCACTATATGAACACATCTGTGGATGTTTAAAAATTCTAAATTTTTCCATTTCATGATAAATATTGATAAATGCTTAAACCAGTGCTAGGGGTGTGTGAACAGTAACTTGCACTTTCCAATACAGTTCATAAAAAGGCTCAATCAAACCAAGCCTGCAACATTTTCAAATTTGTCATTTTGAGCGTTCATTAGGGATTTTTAATAACTCTATCTTATATAGTTCCTCTCCCTATCATGGGTTTGAGCCTTACTATGGTCACAACCATGTTTCTTTAAATGACACACTGGTACTGGTAATCCTATACATATGATGTCGCTTTGAGATATTTTTGCTTATTGGCAAGCCAAAGCAACGTCATATTGAAATTGCTCAAAAACCAATAGCATGACATTCTGCAAGAAAAACAGGCTGAACAAAAAATCACTTTAAATCAGCGTATAATTACATTGATTTTGACCTATATATGAACAAAAGTAAAAAATAAATACCTTTCAACAAAATAATTAAACTGTCACATCCAAAAATCATGATTAAATCCTCTTATCTAATTAAATTCCTGATACAGCCGATAAACAAATGGCCGTCACACAGTGCGCAAAATCTGATTGGCCAATTCAAATGCAAGAGTTTTAAATAAGTCAGAAGTTTCAAACGAAAATTTTTTTAACGAAATATTTGCCTATGCACCGCCAACGTGTATGAATATATATTTCTGTTCAAAAATTTGGAATCAATCTGTAAAGCGCTTTACTTAATTAGTATGGCCGATAGGTCAAATTAGATTGATGTTTGTATTTTACTTTACATTGATAACTACATTGTTTGAGAGTTTATGTTAAAGATTGAGCATGATATTGAAAGAAAATTTGATAAACTTTTGAATAAAGCTTGAAAGGCAAGATAAAAGACATTTATTGATTTTTTTATGATGCTATGTGTTTATGAGCAATAAATTTTAGACGTTAGGCTTGACCTACATAAACTACAACAAGCCCGTAAATCCACAGACACTTAGTGTGCGGAGCTCAAAACGCCTTTAAAATCCAAATAAAATGTATATTTGTCAATCCCAGCATATATTGGTCATATATATAAAAAAATTAACATAAGCTGTTTTGAAAAAATTTCAACGTTTATAATAATACACAAGATAAAAATGTTACCCAGAAAAAAATCCGCACATATACCGTCAAAACCGCCATGTATTTTATTCCATTTCCAATATTTTCACATAATCCTTTTGTCCATCAACAAAGACGATATTATTCCCCATGATGATGTTCAATTTTAAACTTCAACATCAATACAAACAACGCAACAGGAGAAACAGACATCAAGATTATCGCCGTTTTACTCCATTTCAGCATACAGGCGTCATCATTCATGTGAGACTGCTTTACTCAGACTTGTCAATGATCTTCTAGACGATATGGAGAAACAAGAGGTCACAGCTCTAATTGCAATAGATCTAAGTGCAGCTTTCGACACCGTTGACCACAACATTCTACTCGACATGTTACACAGTCAGTATGGTGTCAATGGTACCGTGTTAGCTTGGGTGGACTCGTACCTGCGACCTCGTAGTTGTCGCGTCAGTGTTAATTCTACTGAATCGACTCCACGATTGCTGGAATGCACATCAGGGGAGCTGTCTTGGTCTGTGGCTCTATCTCACATATGCGAGAACCCTATTTGATGTGATATCACCATCCATATCTGTGTAGGGCTTTGCTGATGACCACATTGCTAGTCAACGCTTTCGAACAACTTCAGTGACCAATGAACTTAACGCTATAAAGCAACTTGAAGACAGTGCTGTAATCATCAATGACTGGATGAATGCCAATAAACTCAAAATTAACACCACTAAGACAGAATTCATTATGTTTGGTAGTAAAGCCCAACTTGGTAAATGTTCAATTAAAGAAATTGATATCGCCGGTGATAAAATTGAAAATGTCAGTGTCATAAGATACTTAGGTGCCTACTTAGACAAGGGCCTAAGATTCTCAACACATGTTAAGACCAAGTGTAGAACTGCCATGTTAAATTATTTGAGAATAAAGAGCATTCGCAAATATCTGACTCAGGACGCCACAAAAATCCTAGTATTGTCGCTTGTAATCTCACATTTGGATTATTGCAACGCTATATTGTTTGGCATTTCAGAAAGTGAGTTACAGAAATTACAGCGTATCCAGAATATGTGCGCTAAACTTGTTTTTGCAAGGCGGAAATATGATAGTTCCAAAGACTCTTTGTTGGAACTGCATTGGTTACCAATTAAAGCTAGGATCAATTTTAAAATACTATGTACAATGTATAACTGTTTTATGGGCAATGCTCCGGTTTATCTAACAGAACTGTTACACAAGCCTGTCATAAAAAGACCAAATCTCAGATCTGTTGATAATATGGATTATTGTTTTGCAGTCCCCTTTAACAAAAGGAAAACAATTAACGACAGAAGTTTTAGTACCGTTGGTCCAACTCTCTGGAATAAATTGCCTCTGTATATAAGACAGTCTTCGACTTTGGACATGTTCAAGAAAAATGTCAAAACCTACTATTTTAGAGATTTTTACGCATTGTTTTAAGATTGTGATTGGGCTGTAAACTGATAGAGATGTGGAAATGTGTTTAAAATTTTACTGAAATAACCATTAATTCTTATTTTCTTTTAAATTATTTTTTATTGTTATTTTTTATAACTATTCTAACTATTCTTTTTTTTTTTAAGTTTTTAATACTTTATATTTTACACGGCTGATATCTTTAACATATTTTTTGTAGTTCATTTGTCATGCATATGTGTTTTTTTATCTATATGTACATACTTTTATTATCCTTTTGTACAACGCCATTGAATATGTATATAGAAATAGGCGTTTAATTAAATAGAACAGTTTCAGTTTTATTTTCAAAATCTTTCAACAAATTCAAACTAGCTCCCCAGCTTTTCCGTATGCTAATGGACCGCGCTTGGGAACCAACATATTACCGAATGGCTCTGAGTATAGCTGATATGTTTAAACTATATTACCTGTAGGATGATTCTGGGCTCTGATGGAATGTGGGTCAATTTCCCACATTATTGGCTTCACTTACATGGCTTTTGTAGATGTATCCTGAACTTAGATTACAATGAATGATTTTATACAGAAAAAAAAGCCTAGATGTAAATCTACATAATTGATCTACCATATTTAAAATATTAAAATGGAATTATGTAAACGAGGCATTCCATTACTTTACTGTTTGCTGTTTACTGTTTCCTTGGAGTATTGTAAGCACTTCTGTGCTTGTTGACTCCCTCGATCTCATGTTTACATTTGGTGTTCCGCTTCCGGTTGAAAAAAAATCACGCGGAAAAGTACGCGTCTAGTAATATATATCTTCCAGGTCATACCTTTGACTCTGCCATGCTTTATCCTATTTACACTTGAATGAGTTAACACTATTGCTACAAACTATCGTTTCGTCCAGGTCATTCCATTTGTCGATTGCACGAGCAGGAAACGCATTTAAGCATATAGATTTTACACAGCGGGGTTTGATGAGGCGAGTGGGATTGTCATTGAACGAGAGTAACTTTTCACAGTCAAAATCTTCTAGACCATTAATTAGTTTATACAACTCAATCATATCGTACCGTTTTTTCCCATACTTGTTCACCGTTTAGCAAATAAAACATAATTTACCCCTCCTCCACTAATCCCTCCTATTCCGTCAAAGCGTCTACCAAAACCTCTTCTGTCATCTATTTGATACACGTCAGTGTATCCTAATGACACAGCAATAAAATGTATGAAAATGTGAATTTTATTCATCAGCATCATTTCCTTGTACAAGTGCGATATAATGGCGTAATTGAAACAAAGGGACACAACTGATGGGAAACGGTTTAGGCATCCGGAATATTGAACAAGCGCCCCAGGTATCAAAAGGTGACCAATTAACATTATGCTTACTTTCAACTTGCTTGTTTAGTGGCTGATTGCATCTTTCATTTTGTGTGGTCACATCGTGTGTTTTGTTCAACAGTGCAATGTTGAAATACATTGCACTGTCATTCACCATATAGACATCTGGGCCTAAACACCAAACAAGTTGTAACTGTCAACAAGCGTGATGAAAGTGCAAGCATGCATAATGACTGTACCAATAACCACAATAGCAATGTCAATGAGTAAATTGTAACTGTAATCATGCATTGTGTAATTTTTACCTCAATATCATTCCATACAAGTGTATACGCATTATTTTTCCGCGTAACGTCGATAATTTATCATCCTGCGCGCTGTACCAAAATAAACGCTGAAACACAAAATGCATGATGGAAAACGACCTGAAAGTAGAGGTGTCATTGATAAGGATTTTTGTATCGATATATCGGTAATGAATTATCGGCGATACAGCGATATATCGATCGCCAGGCTAAATTTCGGCTTTCTAGTCTTTTTAAATGTTTCCTAAGGACACTGACAAAGCAGTTATATTTAGACAAATGCAAAAAAGATAAACCATGAAAACTGAACAATTTGTTTCTTTTTTTATCATAAAGCTATCAATGAAAACTAATGACTAGTAGGCTAACTATAAAGTTTAAAGCCTTTTCCATTTTACTTAAGTTGTTGTTGTACGTAGATAATGATTATGCTAAATCCCGTCATTGCCGTTCCAATTAAGCTAGGTTTAATTGGCAAATTATAGGAATAATTATTAAAGTTTAACATTTTGTAATCATAATTTATACAAAGAAACACTGACAAATTTTTCTTGGCATTTTCCCTTTTAAAAAATCTGAATGAGGGGTCTTGACACATGCGAGATTACAACAAAATTTCGGCAGCATTCGTTAGAGACACTGGAGGTAACTTTGGCATTGATTTCCGTTTTCATTTTAGAAAAAAAGTGTTTCTGGCGACCATAACTTTATCTGTCACTTTTATTTTGACGTTTTGCGACAGTAAACAGGTCTATCAGTTCTATAAACCTGTTCGCTGAAAGTCTCTTTAGCTAGAAATATATGTGCCTTCGATATCCGATATTTAAAAAATGGAATCGATATCGAATCGGATAACAAAGATCGTTGATACACCGATATCGATTGAATCGATGACACCCTTACCTGAAAGTCACACTTTTGAAGTAAATGTATCCATAAAAGTGTGTCTACGGAATATTATGATCATTGAAGCTTATGTTCACCTAGTTTTTATCAAAGACTTGTACGATTTCTCTTGTTTTAATGAAAAACAGCTAGAGCTGGCTTGGGGAAAATGATCATTTGGAAAACTTTTAAAATGAGAAAATTATGTTGTCAGTCAAAATATTTATTTGATATAACTGTAAGCATTAAAGATATTTATACACATAATATTGCACACAAAATTTAAGCTGTTACTTTCTTAAAAAAGACATAAAAGTGTCACAACTGACCGAGTTCTTGGTACCGTATCATGGGTCCGCACCGAAAATTGTGGCACCGTATACATTAGTGCTAGACTTGCAGCCACCGCATCATGATGATTAGGCCTAATGGTGAATAATCTTATATTTGTATTTATTTATTGTTGCCCATCTGGGAGAGGCCTGTACTTGTATATTTTATTATTTATAAACCGGAGGAAAATGCATAAATACTATTCAGTTCTAGAAGCAAACCTGGTTCTTTTGTGTGCCCGGCGAAAACACATGTGACCACGGTCATATGCGAAGGAATTTGAGCCTATACTTTATTATTAAAATCAGTTCGATTAGGACAACCAGAGTGCAAAATTGCTAACGTTCTTGTACATGTAAATATAATATAAATATATATATATAGTGCTTACGGAGGGAGTTTCTAAATAAGACTTTTCAAGCTTCCTACCCAATCCGTGCAATTTAATATTTGTCAATTATCATGTAAATGAAATGTTTATAAATGAAATATTGTTTAAACTAAAGAATTTAAGTAAATACATTAGAAGAGTAAGAAATCGAACCCGTGACTTCTAGACTGAAACGTCGGACTTGGAATTCTGGCATCGCTTGTCGAGTCGTGAGCTCGAACCTCGCCAGCGACCATCCCATGTTTCTTAAGCAAGAAACTTACATTGTTGTGCTTTAAGTTATCTATAAGTTTTATATTAGTCTATCAATAACTGGAACTACAAGGGAAAATACAAGCATGCCGACACAGGCATGTAATGGATACAGTACGAGTTTTCCTTCAAAAGTGACTTCTTTACAGACATAAGAAGACAATTTGAAGAAAATACAATTAACTGTATCTGAATTATACGACGTTTAATTGTAAAGAACCGATAAATTAATAAACACATTTAATTATAAATAGATCTTTGTATGTTCACGTTGAAAAATATAAAACTATAGAAAATATGTGCATGGCCTTTAAGCTTTGGGCAGTGAAAGGTGTAGGGTAAATTGTATTTGCACGGAACTTACGTGCACTTATTTCAATCAGAAAGAATTCACTGTCATTCATGATAAACAACGTTAAAATGGCTGCCCACCAATTAACAGAATGTCAAATTTACTATGTCAGTCAACATTGAAATCGTCTCTAACTTTTTTGCGCCATGTTATATGGATTACGTTTTGGATACCAAAAGTAAGTCTCCTTCCTTAACGCAATGTTCAGCCGTTTATGCAGTTGATTTTTTTGTGTGTGTCGGGCGGTGGGTACAGTTAATGTCACGAGAATGTCAGACGATATACAAAAAAAACAACTATAGGTATTGTACCATCTTCCAACAAACAACTGCTATTTTTTTGTCAATGTTAAAATCAACAGTTACTTTGTCCTGGGAAATGGCCATCCAATTCTCGATAAACTGGATTTTTTCATGAGATGCGCACTACTTTCCATCGATTTGAGGCATTTAAAATGTCGCCTGTTAAGATTGACTACACACTGGCCGTAGCTTCCGCAGAAGCGGTGGGTCCATCGCAGAGGCGGTGGAGTATTCGTCGCAGAAGCGGTGGATAAAATATGGCCGTTTGCTGTTGTCGGTAAGTATTTGACTGAATTTTGTTTTATGTTTCACTGGAAACACTTATATAGTGAGACTGGAGCCCACATATGTACTCTGAAGTGTTTTTGCTAAACGGCAATGAATTGTACCGTGTGCATGTAATAAGTCGAAAGAGTACATTATATGGGCTCAAGTCTCACTAAGTGTTTCCAGTGAAACATTAAAACATAAAACAAAATTCAGTCATATACTTACCGACAACAGCAAACGGCCATATTTTATGCACCGCTTCTGCGACGAATACTCCAACGCCTCTGCGATGGACCCACCGCTTCTGCGAAAGCTATGGCCAATGTGGACTAAATCTCTTGTTTTTTCTTAACTAGGGAGAGCTATTGTAATTGTGAATTTTGACAGAACTATCGCCCTTTATATTGAAAATTCTACATTATTAAGGATCTTGTTTTACTATCAAGCAGCGCACTGGCTCTTCTTAATAGATAAGAAGCGAGATTTAACATTATCTTTCGAAGACTTTCTCTATAGTCACTGGTACTGTAAATAAGTTACAGTTCTCAAATGAAACATGTGAAAATTAAGTTTAATCATCGCGAAGATTTTTCTTGTGAGAATGTAAAATCTTGCTACTTTATCTATAAAAATACAGAAAGGCGGACAAAACTTTTAGAAAAAATCGTGCATGTCAATAGCAGTCCTTTAACTGTCCGAAGAAGGACACCGTATATTTCAAATGTGCTAAATCCACAAGAAAAGTAAAGGTTATTTAAAAGTGTCTTCTTACTATGGTGGGTGATTTGGAACGCTTGTGTGCGACGTGTTGGCGCTACAACACGACAAAGCGCCAAACGGCGCGTTGTCGGACTGTCGTCTTGTCGTCCTGTCGCTAACGATGTACGTCAAACAGCGCGTTGTCGTTCGGCGTGTTGTAGCGATGTCACATTGTCGCTCGCTTTAAAAATTGAAAGTTTGCCTTATAAGTCAAGGGACAGGGCGACATCGCGACAACGCGCCGTTTGGTGTGCTTCGCTAGAGACAGAACGACAAGACGAGAAGCGCGACAACGCGCCGTTTGGCGCCTTTGTCGTGTTGTCGCTAGCCGACCAGACGAAAGGCCGATAAATCGATAAAGGTTGCGTTGTTGCTATCGACAACGCAAACACGCAATGCACCAAAAATCAGCCACCAATATCTTACAAACGTAAGAAGACACTTTTTGAAAACAGCTCGCTTGGGGTATAGTCGTATATTAATACAGGGAGGATAACTCAAGCACATAGTTGCCACCTTTCTTAAATTCAGTAGCATGCGTAAGTTACGTGCCAAGTCTATTTAGTTAAGTAACTAAAACTTCAAATGTAAAACAGAAATATTATTTTAGAAATATGAGCTTTGGCTTGCTTGTGTGTTGTATAGTAAAAGTTCAACTTACTGATATCAGCAAATTATATGCCATTCCCGAGTCCACAGAAATAACAGACATGAAATGCAACTGCTACGAAAGCATAGAATTTTAATAAGAAATAATCTTTAAAAAAAAAAGCTATAGATGTCCTGATTGCTTCCAGGCCTAGGTAATCAACTGCCCAGCTTACCCTGACCGATAACCAACATCTACCTTTTCTTGTCAATTATACAATTAAAAAAATTAATATACCCCCCCCCCCCTTCAAAAAAAAAAAAAGAAAAGCAAAAAAACCACACACAGTTAAACACAATTTTAAAATACATGTATGCAGTATTCCTACCGCGCAAAAAGAACAGCGGTGCCATGGTTTTGGATGGCGGTTAAAACCTCTTATGATTGCAAGCAGAATGGTACCATGTTATCAAAAGTTTATATCCTTTGCAATTTTACAACATTATTTTGCCCATTAATTTTAGTGTAAAATTCATA